CTAATTGTAATGAAGGGGAGTATAGGTTACTTTGTCACTGTTTTTCTGATTATAGCTAATCCATATCGTTATGGAACTTTACTTTTGAATTAACTGCAATTTAAAGGATACAGAGAAAATAAATTCTGCCAATGTGCTCATATATGTTGATTTCTGATATGCTGATTGACATTTTAACCAACTTGCTTGGGTTGTAATTTATTGCGACTCTGACTAGAGTTTGTTTACCTAAGAAAATTATAGTTTAAAAAAAAACAATTTGTACATCCTACTGCACCTTTTCCTTGTGGTGGTTACTTATTTATCTCCGTTTTATATAACACACTCATCCCTTGCTTTAAGCACTTGATCTGTTTCAGTTAATTAACTAATTGGTTATCTGTGAGGTGTCCAGATAATGGCGTAGTGAGTGCCACTGAAAAGCTAATAAATAAAATTTTATTAACCACTGGTTAATTAAATTAGATAAATCAGTTTATCCTACTAGAACTTCACTGCAAAGAACTGGTTGCCTTTTATAAGTAACAGACTTTTAAATCTGATTTTATGCAATAATCTCTCTCTTCTCCAAACACTCTAGATCAAGGTTCCTTCATTCTCTGAAACGCTTTCTGCCTTGAATGTAGTACAGGTAGCTGGTGGATCCAAAAGCCTTTTTGCAGGTAGGATAACTCTGTGCAAGGTTTCTGTATTTCAGACCCTCCCATTCCTCCCAGCCCCAAAATAAAAAGTAAAATTATTTTCTAAGAGGTAGGAATAAATTCTTATTTGTGAATTTTTTATTAATGGAAATTTAAAACCTTTTTTCTTTTAGTAACTGTAGAGGGCAAAGTATATGCCTGTGGAGAAGCCACTAATGGAAGACTTGGTTTAGGCCTGTCCAGTGGAACTGTGCCTATTCCCCGACAGATTACAGCTCTCAGTAATTATGTAGTGAAGAAGGTGGCTGTTCACTCAGGTATTGACTCTTTACATTTCTCCATGGGAACATAAACATTATGTACTTAAGCTTAAAAGTGAAAGTAGACTCTTGTGCACTGTATGGTTCTAGTGCAGAGGATATAGAAGAGAGCAGAAGTAGGCAATCTATGGCACGCGT